TGTTAGGGGGATGAATGGAATCTTCACTGCCGCGTCCTTGAGGGCCGTCGGTTTTCCCATGGAAATAAAAGCGAGAGTGGCGGAGAGGTCTGACTAATCGCTTCCTTACACATCACTGTGAGAGGAGACTTGAAAGGAAAGCGTTTATCCTTCCCCGCTGCTTTGCGCCGGCAGGGATGTTGTCCGAGGGAAAGCAAAGCTGTTTAAGTGTTTACAAAACCTTTGCAGTCCAAACACTGCTACACAGTTTCACTCCTTGGGTTTGAAGGGAAGAATGCTGCTGTGGAGAGGGGGCACCTTAAAGACGCTGGCTGTCCTCCTGAGTTATGGAGAGAGGAAGCTGGGAGAGGCGTGTTTGTTGTTGTACCCTGCTATCTGCTGCAGTGATGTCCAGAGGAAGGGAGGGAGACTACCCTGCCTTTTAATTTTACAGTCCACTGGAGACACTTCCCTAAACACTTTGGGCTTTACTGATTAATGTCGCATTAATTGCTCTGCCCTGTACCTTGTGCCCAATGTTGCTGCCTAGATTTCCTGGAGGAATTTTCCTCCTTAAGTTCCCTAAGACCTACAGACAGTACACTCTTTTCTTACTGCCATGAGTCGGAGGATGCCAGAATTCCGGAAGGAAGGTATCAGGGCAGAGCACTTGACTTGGTTTGTCCTGGCCGATCAGATTAGCACAGAGATTCCCAGCATTCCTGGGCGTCATGGACGAGGGGACCTGTTAAGAGACGCTTGTTGCCCCTGTGAGTCTACAAGTGTCGGGGCAGAATGCATGGGGGAGAAGCAACAAACAGATAGATGTCGATAGCAGCGGGAGGGGGGTGGGGTCGGCAGGGAGTATGTCAGGAATTGTGCCGTGTCACACAACACTTGTCACCCAGAGAAACAAACATGAACTTATCGGCCATCGAGAGGCATAACTTGCCACAACTTTGTCAAGCAGAACTGTTCTTTTTAGTGGAGTGCCCATCTGTAAATAGATAGGTAAGGTGATAGACCCTGTTTTCTCAGTCTATTCTCAGGTGGGCTATGCCAGGATGGTTGGAACCTTTTGGGGCAGCATCCTTGATGCCTTTTAGCCAAAACACAACCACTTTTTTCCCCACTTCACACAGAGTTCCCCAGCAGTACCCTTTCTTGGCTCACTCTGCAACTTGACACACAAAGAGCTGCAGGTATTTCAGAAGTTCAGGAGTCTTCAGCTATGAAGATTACTTTCATCTGTCTCTCCATCCTTCACCTGGCTTTATGATCTTGTTAGTTCTCGGGTACAAAAAGCAATGTTGAATTGAAAGGTCAACATGAAAACAGAGGTTTTGTACCTTTGTACACACAATTTCAGGTTGAGTGTCAGGTACGTTTTCCTCCCAGCCATCTGTTTTCAGATTGTCTCACTCAGAATTTGACTTACATGTAGAATGTCAGGGAAGAACCAAGGAAGTAAATAGTGGTGTTGCTCACGGTAGTTTCTTGGTAAACTCTCAGGTGAAGGTGGTAGGTGTTCATCCTTAAGTACTATTGTACTGAAACCTGAAGTCTGGGAAGGAGGTGATATCACCTGTTTAGGACATTGTGGCGGAAGGAATAGACGGCTAAGGAATGGTCATCTAGGAACTAACTTAGTCTTCCTCGCAGTGTTTACAATTTACAAGTCAATCTTTTTTTTGGTTTTGGAAAAAAAAGCACAGACCCTGCACCCCCACCCAGATTTTGTAAAGCCTGCTAAGGAGACTAAAGCTAACTCGCCTTCAAACACACCTGCATTTTACATGTACATGCAGAGCATCAGTGATCAAATTGTCCTTGGATGGGGCCTTAGGCCTTTGGGTCCTGTGTATGCCTCAGCCATCAAGATTCCAGCACACTTATCACAATAAGGATAGGGATGACACGGTGTGTATGATAAGTTCTTGACGACATTACAGGCTCATTCCAGGATGTTGTGTTACTGAACTGCCAATGACCAAATGAATGACAATCAGGGATTAGACTTCAGGTCAAGACTTTGTGAACCAGATCACAGACTTGAGTGTGACCTACTTATAAAATACTGGTAGATAAAAATGAATGGATGAAATGTGGGTTTATTGATCAGCAGAACACCAGCCTCTCCTTAAGGTGAAAGTTGCACATGTCTGATAGTAATTGTTGTCTTCTTCAGGGTTGAGACAGCCAAGAAGAAGGTGCAGGAAATGAAGGAAGAGAAGAAGTCTCAGGTGGCATCCACCCAGCGGAAAGCACGACCAGGAGGACTGGTAAGGAATGGCTTCATCTTCTGTAACTCATCTGTAATACTGACTTTTATCTGCATCATTTCTAATTACTACTGTACTAGTATTTTGTAGCAGTACAGCAAACTTGCATTGTACACATTGGGAATGACAGAAACACACACACAAATAGGCAAGAACAGTGGAATGAAGTAATGACCAGTGCTTTAATGCTTGGTTGGTCTCTTGACTGACAGGTCACAAATCATAATACCTTGTTGTTGTGTGGACTGATGACATGGTTTGTAAAGACCTATCCGCTGGCTTAGACAATTGTCAGGTCAGTTTCACCTAGACATGCATGGTCAAATGCACCTTGTCTGCCCATGAAGTACTCTGGCCACACCATCTTGTTTTGTTGGTTTTTGAACATTTAAAAGTGAAAGTTCAAGAAGATAACTAGATTAAAAGAGAGAGCTGGGAGATTTATCTGGACACTACCCCTGGTATTCTTTTAAGTAGCGCCAGTTTAAAATTTGAGCATGTGCCTAAGCTAAAACCCACTGTGCACGAAACTAGACCCTGACACTTGCTGGCAGTAGCTGGTATTATTAATCACTGTAACAGTGTTCTTTGTAATGCATTCGTCCCTATACCGAAGGGTTGGGAGGGACAGATAGGCATCACTTGTTTTGGGGACGGGCTGTATGATGCATTAGTTTGTTGATGGTGTAAACTGTGTTGGGACAGGGCCGGGGACTGGATCAGGACAAACTCAGAGGGGCAGGGATGGTGTCCGCGACACTTCCATTTTTACAGCTGTGTGTCCAGTATCACATTATTAAACATCAATAGATGATAATGAGCTGTACACATGTATTCTGCAACTTGTTGGAGCAACTTCTGGCTGCAATCCTGCTTTCTTCATGTCGCCTCTGTGTCTTCTTCCCTGCAATCAGCCTTAGCTATCTGTTTCTTTGCAGTTCTCAGATTCTACTTTGTGAAACAGTGTTAGAGGAGGCATGAAATCAGGCTGGCGGGGTAACAATGCCGTCTCCACTCCCCACGTACGGGAGAATTACAGCAGGCTAGACTGCTCGGCCTGTCTCTGGCCCGAAACAAATCCATCTCCACTCCCTACGTACAGGAGAATTATGGCAGGCTAGACTGCGCTGGCTGTCTCTGGCCCGACACAAATCCCACAGATTACCCCCAGCCCCTGCAGGAGTGAGCCCGGTGATCATCATTATTAGGCCACAATTAGCATCAGATCCTCCCCAACATTTCACAGCCTCCATAATTTCATCTGTCAATTAGGCGCTGGCATTCTTCTTGTGTGGAGACATTGGGACCAGACCACATTACCCCTGGGACCTGTGGTGCCAGACTCTCTATGCCGTTATTACATTTTTGTGGGCAAAACTTGGTGATCATTTTGAACAATCAACCACCACAGAGAACCAACTTATGTATCTATTCTTAAGCTGGAGATCGTATGCATGATAGGCAGCATAAAAACAATAAGATCAGATCTGATGATGAAATAAGCTGTGAAATATAACAGCATATACATCATTCAAGTTATGACACGCAGGGAAAATAATGATAGAATCTGCCCATTACTTGGTGTAGCAGCCAAATCATACCCCTAACAAGAGGGTACCCAGGTACAGTTTGGTCAGGTGTATGTCAAGGACTGTTACACTGGCAGAGGAAACCTGTCAGTAAGGCCAAGCAAATATCAGGAGGGCAGATTGTAATATTTCTGGCTATTTCATTTTTTTGACACACAACCCTGGAAAGTGGACAATAAAGACTGAGGAAGTCAGAAAAACTTATGATCTTCCATCCCAACTTCTGCTTGGAGCTCCATGCACAGTAACCTAAACTCCTGTCCTTCCCAGGTGTTAATCCTTTGTTTTCAGTCCCTCTGATGCGCATAATTCTCATTTCCTCCTTCCCTGTGATGTAATACGCCCTGTCCTGGTTCAATGTCAAACCCACTGGTCCATACTGTATGGCCTGTGTGGGGGGTCCTGATTACACAGTCTTTTACTGCAGTCAAACCTGTACAAGTGATCCCCTCTACATACAACACATGTATGGACCACCTGGCCATTTGGACCACTTTTTCACATCCCCTTAGATAATTTTTACCATTCACTGTTAACACAGTGATCACTTGTCCACATAGAGCAGATTTTATTGGTCCTGTTATTTTGACTCAATCTGAGAGGGCCCTTGCAAGGAAGTCAGGAGATGTGTATTACATTAGGAATGCACCAGGCATGCTTCAAGGTGACTACGAGTCACCGTTTCCAAAACACGGCCTTACCGCATTCTGGCAGCATACTACGCCAACCAAAGACGTGTGTTTTTGTTGCCATGTCAATGTTGGAATCATAAGCACAAAACAGCGAGCAGATTATTATTGGAATGAGCAGAGCACTTTGGACTAATCTCTCTGGCTGTTCACAGCTTAGAGGTACATATCCAATATTTTGTCAAAAACATCTCTGTTACATAGCGGATCATAATGAACCCAGCGAGGGTCTCCACGCTTCATTAAAAATGGAAAAATCTCAGGATTTATTCCAAAGATCTCAATATTTTAGACGAAATCTTGAGTTCTTATGAGACAATCTCAAGATCTTTCAGATCTTCATCTTAAGATGAAAATGAAAGGTCTCAAGATCTTTCCAAGTTGTTTTCAAAGCATCTTGAGATTTTTTCATAGCATCTCGAGATGCTTTAAAAATCTCAAGATTACTTTATAAATCATGAGATCTTTAAAAAAATCTTGATATTTTTTAAAGCATCTCGAGATGCTATGAAAAAATCTCAAGATGGTTTAAAAATATCTTGGAAGATCTTGAGACCTCTCGTTTTCATCTTAAGATTTTCTGAAAGATCTTGAGATTGTCTCATAAGATCTCAAGATTTTGTCTAAAATATTGAGATCTTTGGAATAAATCCTGAGATTTTTCCATTTTTAACGAAGCGTGGAGACCCCCGCTGGGGTTCATTATGATCCGCTATGTAACAGAGATGTTTTTGACAAAATATTGGATATGCACCTCTAAGCTGTGAACAGCCAGAGAGATTAGTCCAGAGTGCTCTGCTCATTCCAATAATAATCTGCTCGCTGTTACAAATATTTCTGACTTCCCCGAACGTGACGAAGGTTTGTCGGAAGCAGGAAAATTCTTGGGGGATCTTAGGTGTCAAGGGGAGGACAGCTTTGACGTTGAAGAGTTCCTTAAAGATGCCCTTACTTTGTTGGTTCTCCTAATGTTATCACAAGAATTACTGGGGGTCAGGATGGAGGGAGTGCCCTTCCTCAGTGGGTCTGTGGTAGAGTTGAAGCATGATTGACTTGCTCCATGGTCAGCTTTCTAGGCAAATATGTACGACCTGAAAGAGCTTTGGAGAGATTGTGAGTGACGTAACCCAATTTTCCCAGCTGTGAGGAACAGTAGGAGGGTAGGACATCACACTTGGACATACCATCTTCTTCTGACAGTCCATTTTCATCACCAGGCTTTTAGGGGGATCAGTGAAGGATATGAATAAGTTTTTGTTTTGCTTGATGGGCCGCACCAATATATTTTCTTGGTTCCTAGAAAATTAAAAGTCAAATTTCTGAAAGAAGTTGAAAACAGGGTTACGAGGAAAATTTGACTACATTCACCCCCTGATACAATATAAATCAACATACAGGTGTAGACCTTCCCCTCAGAGTCAGACTGTTTGTATGTTGATATTGTTTTGGCATCTTAACTCCGAGAACGAGGGACATCTCTTGTTGTGGCGGTGGTACAGGTTTGTTGGTTTGTGTCCATGTCAGGAGAGGAAGTTTTGATGCCCTGAGATGGTAGATAAAGCACACAGTATCTGTCAGGTTCACTCCAGACTGGCTACACATCACACTACAGAGGTGGGGGAGGTAACACACTGCTGAGTGATGGACTGGCAAGAGCTTCAAGCTGACAACCTAACTTTTGTTGGTCGTTGACACTTTATATATATTTATACCATTTTAAATTTTAAGGAAAAACATCACCAGTCCTCGGTTTTTGACAGAAAAATCAAAGACTGATCAATGGCCATTGCTAACTAGAGAAGGACTAAAAAAATATTTTTACATATTGACAAGGCTAAGGGCCTTAGCCTTGAATGTTTTTTACCAGTATTGTTCACATTGTTACATCTACATTGTACATGCATGTGTACAACAGTATCATAGTAACATAAATTTCTTTCTTTTAGGGTATACATATTGACATATTGAACAAGTAGAATTTATCTTTAGGATGGAACAGACAGAACCTTAAACTAGTGCTGCAGTGTGGAACAATTTACAGCCAAAGAAACGACTCAATTAAATTTGTTTCTTTTCCCAAAAATTTGGTAAATTCTTGCATTGTGCTTTGAAAAGTGTGAAACAAGGTCATTAGCTTGAAGTGATAATCATCTTACAGACATCACAGCTTTCTATAAGTGTCTGTTCCTCTGACAGAAAGGGTCCTTCAAGATTTTGAAGTTTTAAGAATGTGGCAGGCTTGTGTTTGATGTCTGTATTCTATGACAAGCTAAGCCCAGCCTGTAAGTTATACCAGCAGACTCTGATGTTATCATCTGAACTTTTCTCACCCTCAGGCCCAGTTAACCACACTTGCTGGTTCTGGTACTGCTGTGCTAAACACAAGGGAAGAAACTGGGGTGATGAAGATGATATGGGGCCTACATAGGGGATCCCGACAATGTCTCACACTAAAGTCAGCTTCCCTTCCCCAAGACATGTTAGTTGAATAACCTGATCAATGGTTATCATGTTCTCTAGTGAACTTCCCCTAACCTTCCCCCCAACCCTCCACAAGAAAAGTTGATCTGCCTGGACAAAGTTGATCATCCCTGCCCCCAATCTCTCCCAGGCCACTGATACATACTTTAAATTCATCTATTTTAATTGTGATGGGGGTTGATAAAAATACTAACATTAGAAGATTTACAGTATGTACATCAGTGACAGAGGGAGGAAATTGACTTGTCTCCTGGTGGAGGAAGGAGTCCTCACAAGTGTGCAGGTGATTTATGGCTGGCAGAAAACTGAACCAGAACTTCTTAATGGGGTGGGAAATCCTTGGCCTCCTGTGCTCCCATGCAGAACCTCGGCTGATGCCGTCTCTTCTCCCAGCCAGAAGAATGTAGATTTTAAGCCAAGGACCCTCTTATCTAGACAGCAAGTAGAGGTTATTAGGTCAAGGCTAAATGACTCCACCAGCTTCTTTGGTGGCAGAAAAATAGTCGAAATGGCCCAGTTGAAACTTCTTTGGCCAGCTTATTCCTCTGGCAAATGATTCATCCTTTGTGGCCAATTTCTGCCTTCATGTACTACCGGATAGCAGCCACCAAGGAAGTCTTTTGGAAACTGTGTCAAGGCTGCCCATTTTGAAACCTCTCAGAGTCAAGGTTAATTATGAAGTGTTGGCCATGACATTGGCAGGGTTAAAACCCTTCAAAATGGTGCTGTTATGATGCCATTTTGCATGGTGTTGGGTTTGTGGAATGCCTTTTTAACAGCAGGCTCTCAGGAGAAGTCCCCTTTGAATAACCTGTGCTGACAACATGAGGCAAGCTGGTCTCACTGAGGTGTGGGGGAAATGAATCTATCAAAGTTTGGTAACTTTGGTTTGGGCAACCATGTCTCTGTTGTTCCTTTGCGATGAAAGGTTTATTCTGTAAATACAGAAATTGTTGCCAGAGTGAGGGTGAATTCCGTATTTCTTACAAACTTGAAGTGGGTGAATCCGAGAAGCAATGAGTAAATTGGTGTGACCTGATATAAGGGGGAAAAATGGTGCAAAATGCCTTTCCCCATGGTCAATATCGTCAATTAATATGTGTGAAGCCATAGCCATACATAATGTACCTTAGCCATACATGCAGCTCATAGAGCAAAGCTGTAAGTATTTTTTATAGCAATGATGTGGGTTCTGTGGTCTTGCTGGTCTGTGTCTGATGAAGGTATGGAGTCCTGCCAGAGTTTTTGCCTTCAAATAAAAGCACCCACTGTCTGAGCCTGACACCACCCTGGTAGTAAAAGAAATGCCGACAGAAGAGTTTCTTGGTCATGAAGAATGATGCAAGTCATGTCCTTGAGAAAAAGATAAGAGCATAAATTCTTCAAGTGCCCTAAGCGTGCAAAACTGTCTGATGGGTAGGGCAAGAAGGGATATATGCGAGTTTGTGTCAACAGTTTAGTGCAAATGTTTTATATTATTGGAAAAGATATTCAGAACAAGACTTAACATTTGTTATCTAATGATGTTGGTTTGTTAGGCACTTCATTAAGTGAGTCTGCTCCAGTAGCGCTACAGCAAAAAACAAAACAACAACTTTCAAATGACTGCAAGACATTCTGAGAGGTTATTACAGTGTGTTTTGATGTCAAGTTTCTGGAAAGGTCAAGTACTGAAGTAACCAAAGGCAAAATCCATTAAGATCATTTGTTTCTTGACTTGTGACACACTGAACTGTCGTAGCCCCAGTGCAAACAAAAGTTATAGTGAATTGGAAACGACAATTGTTTAACATTCTAAAGCACTTCAACATGCTCCTGTGCACTTAAACTCAGCATGCAGTAGACATGCTTCACCTCACGTTGCAGTGTGTAGGCCTACTTTCCTATCTTGTATCTCACAACTCTCTCATTACTAGAACTCCTTTGCAAAACTAGTCTCTTTGTCAATTGACATTTTTACCAATTTGTATATTTCCATTTATCCAACTTCCATAATTGCTATCCTGAATTACATGATACTAGTATAGTTTACAAAACATTTCACATCTCAAAAGCAATCAGTCTTATGAAGACTACATACAAAAACAAGTAAGATGGGAAAGATGTGCTGTTCAGGACTAAGTGTGTGCTTCTTGTTTTCCAGAAAGCAAAGCTGGTTACCAAGTCAAAGTCCATAGATGTTCCCTTGAAGGAAAGCACAAAAACATCTAAGGAAGATGCCAAGGTTATTCCCAAGCAGCCTACAGTGAAGGAAGAAAAGCCTGAGGAGTCTAAATCTAAGGAACCATCCCCATCTAAGGAGGAGAAAGTGCTGAAGGAATCATCTTCATCCAAGAATGAAAAGGACGATGCACCTGTCCAAGAAAGAAATGAAGTAGCAGAGGAAAAAGGGAAGATGACTGATAAGGAGTCTTCGAAAGATGCTTTGGCTCAAAAGAGGGACATTGAGAGCAGTACAGATGCACCAAAGCAGAAATCTCTCAAAGAAAGATTCCAGGAACTGTCCAAGGAAAGGGAGGCAAAGAAACAAAATATTGCTAAGAAGTCTCAAGAAACCAGGACAACATCTTCTTCTTCTGAGACAAACAGTTCAGCTGAGAAGCCATCTAGTGAAAAGGAAACATCTAAGGAAGAAGCTTCTAAGGAGACGTCCAAGGAGGAGAAATCCTCCGAACTTCCAGCCGTTGATGAATCAGAGGAGATATTCCAGGATGGAGAATATTACTGACACTGGTGCAGCAAACATGTCATGTGTACTGCTCCTATCATCTACATGTTTGTTTGTTTTGTTTTGTTTCGGTTATTTATTGGTCTTCAAGACAACTGGTGGCTGCTTTCCAAGCAGGCGTATGGCTAGGAGGTACATGTACAACACAGGGCATGTATATGTGAAAATGCTGAAATAATGCTAACAACAACTTTATTGCCAATCATGCCTGGATGCTAATTACAAATAACAGTATACAGCATAGGTCTATGTTGTACATTACAGGTGGAAAACAAATAGAATAAGGAATAATATCAATAAATGTGGAATAATTAGAAATGTGGAATGCTATTTCTATTGCTATACCCCAGTATCTGGTATTGATGGTTTTTGAGTCCCTTTTTTCTTCCATATGAAAGGTGTCACAATACAGGTTACTGGTACTGAACATGAATGTTGAAATTCTACTGTGATCAGGCCACACTGTTGTACCACGCCTGTCCCAGGAAGGTAAGCTCCAAGCAGATGTAAGGATCCCCCCTTATTATCTATGTTTTCTGCCTGTTTTTGCAACATTGGTACAATTTTCCAGTACAATTTTCCAGTAAAGAGTAGAAAAAAACAGGTGATTACCAAGATCACTGGGAAGTATCCGTGTGGGGGGTAGGTGGGTGTGACATTATCAGGTATGGTTATCACCTGATGATGGGCTTGGCTCACATAGTTGGGTTGGGTGAGTCTGGTGAGTGTTGGGGTGGGTAGGACAGGTAGGGCCATCAGGAGCTGTCAGCCACAGAACTACCGAACAGCATTCCTGCCCAATCTTGTCTCTACATCGTCTCCACTGCCCTGTGGCTCCCTACTACTTCCTCCTGCTGGTTTTTCTACTGTCTCTCATGAAGCCTGCCACACATCCAGGACCTTCCCATGACTCTGCTCCTGACCACTCCCAACCAAGGCCAGTGCAGGGTTGGCAGTAGCCCGGAATCCATCCTATTCTTGTTCAAGTCATTCCACTGATTGCATCTAAACAGATGACTTTCCTAGGGTTTTTTGTCAAAATTTATAGTCAGCTGGTCTAGAAGCCACACTTGTGCTCAGAGATTGCATTCTGTAGTAGTCTTCAATCGACTAGGATTATGTTCTGCTGATATGGCCAGATACAGCATTACTGGCAGATTAAAGGATTAGCTTGATAATGCTTATGTTCAGGTTTGTTAATCTCCAAGCAGATGTGTGGCATTTTTTCCGGCATTTTTACCTTCGCCAAGAAGGTTATGTTTTCAGGGGCGTTCGTGTATGTGTGTGTGTCTGTCTGTCTGTCTGTCTGTCTGTAAACACGATAACTTGAGAAGGCCTTGATGGATTGTCTTGATACTTGGTAGGTGGGTAGGTCTTGATGAG